CTGTTAACAATAAGTATGCGATCAAGTGTCCGATGAAGAGATCACGGACATACACGGAGACTCGCGGAGATTTAACGTGTCGAAATTAGGACTTTAAAAGATGTCACGAACGCTCAGGAATATTTGCGAAAACAGAACCCGTCGTTAGGTAACAATGTCGGTAGAGCAGAGACAGCCGTTTCTCCATCAAACCTCCATAAATCATAATTAACAACTGGCTAGTAATTTAATCTAGCGTTTCGCGTGATGAATGACAACAGATGTCGACGAGGACCTCGCGTTATCGTCGCTCAATTAGGCGAACCAGGAGCAACTCGTGCACCGCTCTCAACCTACATACTTTCGCGCACCTCTGACCCATAGTTTCCATCTGTTTCCCCTCTTCGTGCTTCTCCGATCAGCTTTCTCGAACAAGACCACGGAATTTGCTGGCGAATTCAGAATATTTAGAACAAAGGCTAGCAGCGATATTCGAAACGTAGCAAAAATTGTACAGGCCACGTATGGAATCTACCGCACAGTTTCGATACGTACGATTCGAATAGCAGGTATTTTCGTTAAATCCCGGTAAATTACGGAATGGTTTCATAAAGAACCGAAACTGTTTCGAGCTGTATACGCAAGTTTGAAAAGCTCCGCTGCTCGAATTGAAAGGTATCGAGCAAACTAGGGACGCAAAGGGTCGAAGTTTAAATAGGACACCCTGTATGTTTGTCGTTGATAGAAAGTTCAGAGTACGAGAGTTCCGAATCGTCCCGCGGCAGAAACAAGAGAGTAAAGTGCAGAGTGCATGGCGTGTGCGGCTGGTCGAAAGAAAGAAGGAAAGAAAAGAAGGAAGAAAGGTCAGTGGAAGAGAGAAGGGTGTAGATGCAACGTGCCAAGGGAGAGAAGTTCATCTGTCATTGACTTGTACGCTGAAAGCGTTCCTTGTGCTCCGCTACAGTGCCTTTCAGAATGCCTCTGGATCTGATGCTATCCAGAGATTCGTTTGTCCGCTAAAAAAGCCGGGGAAACGCGGCAGAGGGCCATTTTGTATCGTGAAACGCGTTAACGATCGTTCAAGTGGCTCTGGTATTCGAAGAAAACGTGGTCGCGCGATATCGACAACGTCCGAACCATTTTCAACGCGGAGACGTTGATTAATGGTGAATTCGGTAGACGCGCAACTAGGGTCGTACGTAATTATGTCGGCTATTTGATTCAGCTTAAGGCGAGTTTTCTGTGATTAACCAGAAAAATAGGCGATAAAAAGATTTGGAGTAGTTTAAAGTAACCTTAAGAGATACGGATTTATTATCGTTTTCCGAACGACTCGGAACGAAAGCGGTTTCGCTATCGTGTTCGAGCGGAAAATTTGATGGGTTTTGGTTGATCGACGCTCTTTCCGGGGTGAATTACATAGAAGTTGGCGAACATTCGTGGCTCGGTTTGTGATCCAGTGGCGTTGGATGCATTCGGTTTTGAGCGTACCCACACGTGCTATAATGCACGCCGTATGCCGATAAACTGGTCGAGATAAAGTACTAGGAAACGAGCGTGCATAGGCAGAACCGACGTGCAACAAGCCGCGTCGTGCATCGCGATCGCCATAATGTATCGGTCGTTTCAAAGTTCCATGGGATCCGTATACACGGTATCACCGTTGATACTCGTGCCATATACAGCCGAACGACCCGAGAACCTCTATCGCGAACGAACGTCCAACTCCGATAATCATTTACATACCTCGAACCAATTCCTGCTTTCTTCTTTCGGCTCGTTACGTATATTTTCGGACAGAAGTTTGCGCGGGTATCGAATTGTTTATGCGATGGTAGCCCCGTTTATGAAACGCGCGATCATCGTCAAAGTTTATAGCGTTATTTTTTACCTCACGGAAAGTGCTCGTATAACGAATAAGTAGAATCGATGGTATTTGCTCGACCCGGTTGATTCGAATTTCAACTCCGAGGCGCATTTTCTTCTCCCCGTTTCGTTGAAAGTTCGCCTCGGTCTCTTTTGAAACGGCCGCGTATCGCGACGCCGATGAAAAGATTTTTTACGCTCGGCGGGACGAAGCTAAATGAAATTACGCTCGTCGATCGAGGAAATTACGAGGTGAATGTCGGCGATACGCATACGTTCACCTACGGATAATACAAATATCCGTCTGCGTTACAAATTGAACGGACGCGTACTACGGACGCGTCGCACCTACGGGTTAAGTAGATTACGGGCCATACATATGCGGATGAATATGGATGAGGTTGGTTCACAACAAAGCTGCGCGCTCGCTCGTGTCGGTGTCGCGCCAGCGATAGTGTTCGTGTCGCACGCGCGTGGCCACTTGGTACGCGTTACGCATCCACCTACGCCCGTCCACGCGAAATCGCGTGGGCGGAGAATGGTCTGGTCCGCGAAACTGTGTCGATTTAGGATACCGAATCGTTCGTCTTATCCCTTTCTAATCTCGAACGCCTTTTCGTCCTTCGCGCTCGTAACGCAATGTCCGGCAGATACGCGAGAAGCCTAACTTCCGATCGAAACTTATTCGCGCAAAGAGCTTTCTTGCTGGTTTATGCGCTCGATTTAAAGCGTCGCGAGAGGAAGGGATTAAGTTTCCTTCGATTAGCAATCGAATAACTTCCAATCGCGTATCAAATGTTGAGCTGTCGAGTAGGTTGGCCACTTTGCTAACTTTATTATGAGCTGGTTTATGCATCGAGGTTGGGCCGCCGTAAAGGATTAAGTTTCGAGATCTAAAACGGTATATCAGGCTTAACGAACCTTCCCAATGATTATCGGAAGAAGATTCGCTTTAAATTAACCGTAAGAAGATTAAATTTCTACTTTGTTAAGACTCTTGTAGTTTATTAACTACCGCGTACTTGAGCGCTGGGAAACGTTTCTGAGAATTTGTAAATCAATGTTCGAGTAATTTAAGTCGCCTTGATATTCTAATTTACGTAATACAATTTATATTTAAACCTTTTTTAATCTTCCGTAGGCTTACGAACTTATGGGCTTTGCTTACAAAAAATGAATTAATTATCTCTTTAATCCCGCCATCGTTTCCGAAACCTTCTTCGTTCGTAAGAAATTCTCCACGAATAAAAACGAACGATGATCACGGGAAGACAAGTAAGGACTATAAAGAAGTAACGCGGAGGAATAGGCTACTTTCGGAAAGAGAATTTGTGACAATTATAGATAAAGTTATCTGTGACAGAAAGACCGCAGGAAGTTTCGGCGCCTAATACGTAGTATTTAATGGTTTAAAATGGAATTTAGAAGATTACGCGACGCGGAAAAGATAAATTGGTCCATTCTGGTGGTAACACATTCTGTCACGACGCGCAACGACCATAATCTCTAAAACATTAAATGACCAACGTTTCAACGGAATGGTCGTACGTTGGCAACACTGAACTGGGACACCTTGCATAAGATTGCTTTTAATCTTCATATTTCACTGCTTTAAACCAGTTACGTGCGAGTTAAATTCGGGAGCTTGCGAAGCTTTTACCTCGAGACCATTGTTTCGGAATCCGAAAGAGTCGAATTTTCATTCGCGAAAGCGTAACCATGATCGATGCTTCGATCGCCTTCGAATAACAGCAATTTTCTCGCGCCTAACAAGAAGTATCGGGCAAGGATATCGGAGTCCTATAACGAAGCGAAAAGATTTCTTTCTTTTCGTCGTTGAGAAAAAATCCTTCAGAAGACAATGCTTGTTTTGCAACAAATCGTACAGCGATAACGATCGTTGCGAAAACTGGATCCAGTGCGTTGTACTCGATTCATAAAAAATGCATTGCATCTGTCATATTCTATTACGTGTATGTTAATCGTGACTCGGATAATGATTTGCGAGCTTGCAATATGTATGCGAATGAATAAATTTCGGATTACTTCCTCACAAATATTTTAAATGTTGGATAAATATCGTGTCATGACGTACATTACAGTCTGGAATTTAGCCCTTTGCGCTCGAGAGGCGCCGCTTAGGCGCCATTCGATTTAATAGAATAATTTAAAAGAAGCATTATTTAATTAATTCTATAATAGTGCTTATGTGATGTATAAACATAGTGAAATAGACAATAGTGGAAATTATTAGTAGAGAAATAATAACTTCAAAAGAAGTCATTCAACATTTTAATTATTATTTTAAAGTTGCTGTTTGCAAACAGTCAAATTCTCTTCGAGTGCAAAGGGTTAATATCGATCACGGTTTGCATAATCATAAATCTAAAATGTACTTAACATTTCAACTTCCCTGTTTTAATATTGTATCAACAATTAGTTAGCCGAGAAAATGATAGGTCAAGGGGTTAATTCGGTACATTTGACTAATCAACAGGTCAGAGGTTCTACAAAATCGGAGCCAGAACCTTTTACCACACGGTGTCTCCTCTTCGATACAATTCGAAACTACGTTATTTCCCTAAGGGGTCGTCTACACTATTGTTGGTAACTGGTGCTAGCATTACTAGTAGATAGTCGAATTTCTAGCTTTACCTGTTCCTTTTCTTTCTTGTCTTCCCTTTCTAACGACAGATTTGGTACAGATAAAGGTAGAAATGCAAAAATTCATCTACCTTCTAGCAAGGTAGCACCAGTTACCATAATTTCCCTTAGGAGAAAAATGTATATCGTCGAAAAGCATGTACCTCGCCTAGAATCTATTTCGACTTTCGTAACATTATCTCCACAAAATTTGTTGACTTGTCTCAATTCAAAAACGACAACAGATCGAATAAGATTTAAAAACTGACGATACCAGAGGAAATGCGTAAACTGCCGGTGCAAGAGAAAAGGTGTAAAGTTTATTGGTAAAAATTGTGGAAGCAGCGAGAGCGATAAGCGCGCGAATATTACCGATGCTCTGTCGGAGTATCGCGTGGGTGGAGTACAAGAGGCTAGTTAGCGCGAACACACCGTAGGGGAATATAACGCGTGTCCCGTGTACACGCGTCTAAATATAAAGTTGGTGGAAGAGGCGCGAGAGCGCGGTTCCCTGGCGAGAACGGTGTAACCACCTAGTCAAAACACGCTGTTGCGTTGTATCGCTCGCGAGGCAACTCGCGCCGCCTCGTACAACTGCAGTAGTTGCACTCGGCTGCAGCTGGAGCTGGAACTACACCGAGCGATCAGTTCGGTGTTTCGGCTTTCCCCGCGAGAATCAAAAGTTGCTTTCGTTGATTGTTTCGCGTAGTGACAAATTTGTCGGTGAGCGTTGCCGTGGAACACGGGTGCGCGGTTTCTTATCGCAGTGAAAATTGTGTCGCCACGGGGTAACTATACGCGATCGGAAAAATCAACGAGGATACTTTTGCGCGTAAAAATCCGTGTGAAGTCGGGTTTAGTTGACGCGGGATGTGTGCGTGGTATTATGGCACGGGGAAAAGTCGCGGGAAAAATTGTATCGCAGTCATGTAATCGAATTACGCGAAAAATTGGCGAGCAAACGAGAATTGGGGGATGGAAAACTATGGGAAATTGTGTAACGCTGAAACGAATATAATTGAATTATCCGATTGAAAAAAGAAAATTACGCAAAGCGCTACCGCAGTGTTTCCGTGCGAGGACAATATTGCGCGGTATATCGCGTCCCGTTAAAATATAATAAACACAATCGAATTACGCCTGTGCAAAAATTTAGAAAAATGGAATCAAAAAATAGGAGTACCGTTCAGGGAATTTAAAGGAAAATCGAGGTACGAAAAACCTAATGTATATTATCTCGTATTAGAGTAAACGTAACCGAATTATGCGACTAATAGAAACGAGAAGCAAACGCGCGTAGCATATCTTTGCTCCGAAAAAATTGCGCGGAAGTAGTGCGACGACGTCGGAATATAATTAAATTACTTGATTGCGAGGAGAAAATTAAGAAAAGAACGCATGTGTACCGTGTTTTGCAGAGGAGAACATTTTTATCGCGTCGGAGTAAGTCCAGTTACGCGAAGGAAAAAATTAAAGAGTAAACACGAATTGAGTCGCGTAACTGCAAAAACAAAATTAGAGATGACGTGAAGGGAAAATGAGCAGGAAAGGTGAACGAAGTCGCGACTAAGTAACGAAGAATATAAAAATCGGAAAAGTGCAGAAAGAAAAAGTGCGCGCGTGTCGCGTTCGAGAAAAAATATAATTGGCAAAGGTATCGAAGCGTGACTGGAAACGAGGCTAAGTTTGCGACGATTTTACGACGACCTTGGCTCGAGAAGAGTCGTAAAAGCCGAAGAGGAGAACAGTGTTGGCCGGCTGGATCCGGCTATTTTCGAGCGGAAATCGACGCTCGTCTCTCGCGTTTGGAAATTATTGTACCGTGTCCGAGAAGGAGAAGATCAAAGAAATACTCGGGAGTCGTACGTCCGTTCGCGTTAAACGTTAATTAATTTATGAATCGCTGGGTCGAGTTCGTTTCCAGAAGACGCGGCACGACGCCGAACGTCGCGTCGGCTCCGGACAAAGCTTCGATCGAGCGCGTTAAGGGCAATTATCGTTCCTTCCCCGATAATTAGAGGGGTGGCGCGATAAAAATCGCTCGTCGTCGACCCGATCGAGATTCCTCGCTTCAGACAGTAGTCCCGTAACGGTATTGTGCGTAAACAGGTAGCTTCTATGCCGTTCTTCGATGTTTCGAGATTGATCGATATCTCTTTCGACCCGACCGAGTATCTATCATGCCATTCTCGGCAACGGAAAATCAGACAAGTATCGTTCATTACTTTAACCGTTTTACCATTGCACCGTGCTCGAACGAGCGGTCGAACCGATGCGATTTCGAAGGAAATAGAAAAGTTGGAGAACCGTTTATTAGCCACGAAACGCGTGTCCTCGTGATCCAACAAGTTCGAGGAATCCCGTAAATACCGTGGCTCGTATCGTCGCCATCTACGAGCCCTCCTGTAATTAATTATTCTCGACGAGTCGTAGGCCATTTAAATTAACGAGGCCATCCGCCCGTGAGAGGAAAGCCTGATCGCTTTAAAATTGTGCCGTCCTAGAAACTCTCGAGGAACATCTGGACGCGAGAAACTCGATCGGAAACAAAAGGGAACATAATGGTCCATTCGTTCTCTCGATATCTGCCGCGCTGCGAATCTTTTCTTGTAACGTCGTTATTATCGTACAATCGGTATTTCAGGATTCTCCGATCAGTATTGTATATATACGTTATCGATACAGTATCGCCAATAAATATAGAAATATCCGCAATATCTATCGACCCTTCGTTAGAAATTGAAAGGAACCGGTTAATTTCGTTGCTAGCTAAAACGGTCGATTTCCGAGACTATTTTCGGACGGGAAGGCGACACTTCATTCATACTCTTCGACCGTGGAAATTCGCCCACGGACTTCTAATTAAATTTCAATTTTCTCGTCGACTTGTTCGCTCGAACACGGCTCATCCTTGATTTTCTAGAACAGTTTAGAGCTCGAGTTTCTCGAAATGGTATAATTGTTCGAGCGTTTCGTTTTCTCGTAATTTATCGGTACGTTAGAAAACCTGGTCGAGTTACGGCGAAAGTTCATTTGCGCGAATTATCCAAAGAAAAATGAATTTTCGCTTACGCTTTCGTTATTTCTTATTTGTTCGAGCGTTTTATCTCCTCGTAACCGGTTAGCATATTAGAAAATAGAGGAGAGACGAAAGTTTACCGTAACGAAACTCGCGGTTTCTTGCGATCGTTTAATCGTATCGCGTTAGTTCTTACGGAATCGGTTCCGCGATATACGTTAACGACAGAAAGAGTGCAGTCTTTTAGAAAATCGAGAATCATCGACGTACGACGAACACGGGAATTAACGGGGTAATACAAATAGTTACGCCAAAGTACTCGAACGCTCGGAATTTCGCCTATTTTCTGGCGTTTAATTGCAAAACGGTTTCACCGAGATCGATGTAAAGGTAACGGAGACCTAAGTGGAAACGCGTGTTTCCGATGCTGATCGAGTACCCTCTTCGCCCTTAATCTCGATAGCGTACAGCTTAGTCGATAAATCAGCCCTTCATCCCTTATCCACCCTCCATAATTGCGAGGTTAAGTTTTGACGCGCTCGATTATCGGATTAAAGCTTCTCTCTTATATTACGTCGAGCAGACCACCCCGATGCCAAGGATGGTGGTCTACCATAGTAATTACCAATATTTGCTATCGCTCCGCTCTAACGTAACCGCGCTGTTCAAAAGATCATTTTTATGGCGTTCTTTCACCGAAAATTAACGTCGCGATCTCTAAAATAGAAACGAATCATCGAAGCTGATTGGAGAATTATTTCTACAGCAACCAAGCTCCGATTTCTACATCCAGAATCGTTTTTAAAACGTATAAATTATACTTTTGCGCTCCCGATTAATTTCGCTCGACTTTCCTAGCTTTAGAAAGCCAAAGACATCGCTTTTCATCTAATCCCCGCAAAACGAAGCGATAGAATCGGTTAAACCAGCGGATCCCGTTTCGCTTTTTAATCATCAGTGGGCGTCGCTTGGTATATAGGTTCATCGATTAAAAATAGACGGTCGATGTTTTTTACACGAACTGGACTTTCGGAGCTTTCGACGATCTCTGGCTAGCGGTCGTCCGTCCGAAAGTATTATTTAATGAACCGCGTCGAATCTCGGCTGCGTCTACTCGGGATCAAATCGGAGCCGTGCTCTGTTAACCATGCGAGGATTCGGACGTTCCGCGTGAAACCGTGCTTCACGCCGGAGCAGATTCTCGTCGAAGATGGAACGTGCCATTCCGAGCAGCGACAGTTGCACGAAGAGGTTGTCCACGATCACGGAATACTCCGAGTCAGCGATCGACAGCGACAACAACGATCTTGCCGAGTGCCTCGGGGAACAGGAGGGGGATCACGCGATCCCTCGGGACGATTTCGCGAACGAGCAACTCGAGACGGAGACGAACGTCAAGTATTTCCTCGTGGACGACTCGCCGATGGCGAAATTCAGCCGCAGCATCAAGTGGATCTACAAGAAAGTGAGTTTCCAAACGTTTTAACAGCCATTTCTTTTATCGTCGAGCGTTTACTAGAATGCTAGAACCTGATCGTTCTTCGTACAAATTAGAGGCAAGGCGGTGTAAATTTAACCTTAACCCTGTAATCGTGGCGGGTTCGAACGAGCGACATAAGTCGAGTTTAAAACGCGAAAAGATCAAAACGAGGTAACGAACCGAAAGCGAAGACTCGGCATCCTCGAAGCGTATCGACCCTCGCTAACCCGACAACCTTCGAGTGATCTGTAATTCAAACAGATTCGGAATTTACACTTCAAAGTTCCCTTATGAAGCTTCAATCGCATCCAGCGGATCCCTAATATGCATAGCTACGTACGCGTACGATCCTCTGCAGGGTCTTGTACGTACCTCTCGAGCGATCATATTCGCGGTCTGATGTGTCTATCGACGGTGGATGCTACGTTTTAGCTTCTAGTCACGTTACTCCGGTCCCGGTGAAAGAAGCTATTAACCGCACGCAGCGGACGATGCGCTCTTTTGCTCTGTTTTACTTTCGAACTCCTCCAGCCGTGTCTGTTTCGTCCCGAACGTGTATTCCAGCCCAGTCGGAGCGGCGGAGTTGTGCACGAAAGTCGTGACGCGACTCCTCCGAATCATCGAAAGCGGATGCATCCTTGGAACCACCGTCCACCAGATCAGCGTGCAGGAATTTTACACGAATCGGACCGCGATTTCCGTGGAAACGCTTGGTAATCGGCTAGCGACTTTCCTAATCCTGGCTCGAAAGTCCTTCGACCGAAATAAACCGAAACACGTTCGACGCCACGGAACTTTACCGTTCTCTTCTCTCCGTGTTTCTTGGTCGAGGTATCTACGACGCGACGCGGCGGATACGTTTACATATTTCCCGATAACAAAGATGCACGGTCGACAGCGAATCTGGCTTCCCTAGAGAACGCGCGGAAACCGATGAAGAAGGGATCTTCGCACAGCTTTCACGGTTTGGGGATCTCGGGATTTACCTTGGAACGTTGCAGTGTTCAGTTTTATAAATTAATCTGTAAGAAGCGTACGTTAGCGGTGCACGCATCCTGTCGATAGGGCGCCCTAGAAAAGATACTCGTACCAGACTATAACTAATCAGAGGTTCATTCTTTTTGCCATTAGTCAAGCTGCCGTCTCCTCGAAGTACTCGAATGTCACCCCATCGAGATCGTAATACTCCTCCGGGCTGTTCGTCGTCGTCTGAACACCGAAAAGCCAACCACAATGCGAAATAGGTCATTTCGTCCGTAAGACCCTCTCGAGAACGGGTCTCGTGACTGAAGTGGCCAAGGCAGAAGAGTTTCTAGGTCCTAGCCAAGACTCTCGACACGCGATTCTCTTTCCCCCTTCGTTCATCTTTCACGGGCTTTTTCTTTCGCGTCCGTTCCGCTTCTCCTTCCTCTTTCGCAACAGTCGAGTTTTCTCTTCGTCGGGCTAACGAGAGAGGAGAACGAGGTAGAGTCGCGATCTCTGCATTCTCCGACGAACGCGATGAGAAGAGATCTAAGAAGACAAGCGGGAGGCCTCCAGACAAGACTGGAGGGTCTTCGTCGTGGAAAGAGCGGCGAATCGAGCGAGAAGGGATGCTGGAACCGGAGGCGGAAAGAGGATGAACACGCGCGAGAGGATTCTATCTCGATTCCGCGCCGCGTTCCACGAGCGTTTCATCCACGACTCTCCGCCACGGGTGAGAAGATACTGCCGGCTGTGTCGCGATGAGAATGTTGTCATCCAGTTCATTAACGCTCCATCCCGGTCACTGACGTCGTCCCCGACAAATTTATGGACGGAATCGATCATATTTCTTTTTTTATTATCTCTTCATCGCGAGTTTCCGGCAGAATTGCGCGCCCTTTGGCCCGCGAGATGTACGCCTCTTCGAAATCGAATCACCGTTTAATTTCGGTCAACGCTATCGACGAATTAACTTCGCGATTTGAAAATGTTAAACAGGAAAGTCGTTTGTCTAAAATTAACTCGGCGTTTTCGACCACCATTTTACGCGTTTACTGTTCCATGCGAGAATTTCGTGTTCCGCGTAATTCCGCGAAAGCGTTAAACGCGATCAAAAACAGCGTTTCATGGAAATCCAGTGGCGCCGTGTGACCGTGTAAAAATGTCGAATGTTCCGCTGACCGAAACGGATCGATTCGAGCGTGCCGCGTGCGCGACGATTCGAACTTAAAACGCGTGTCGATCTCGATTCGATAGAAATCGATCGTAGTTCCTCCGCTAATTGTATTCCCGAGTCTTACCCGACATTCCGACGATTATGTTAGAAAAAGAGCAGAAACCGTGACTATTAAAATAAACGAGAAATCGCGAGACGAGCGGAAAAGCTTTTAATCGAGAGTAAAAGTCGCCGGAGGATCCTCTCGCTGTTCGATCGAAGGAGGCTCGAGTGGCGCGCAACTGTACATGGTTGCAAAGTAAATTTAATTAACGGAATCACGGTATGGTCGATATCGAATCTGGTCGAGCAATTTGACACCGAGATCGGTGACGTCGAGATATTCAGGCACGACTCTGTCAGGTATGTACCTGCGGGACATTCGATACCCCATGACAATCCGTCCAGCCATTTCGTTTCGAGGCTCGACCGCAAAATCGAATCCTGGCCACGTACAAACGACAGGGAGACGCGTTAATGCGAATCGATTTCACCGAACCAAGTGTCACGTTAATTGCCAGCCTCACCCTGCGCGATAATCACCCTGCCATTAAACGTGCAACGACGCGAACAATAACAACAATCACCAGAAGGTCTAGCGTAATTTTCTGATGCACTAATCGACTCGTGTTACGCCGATGTCGAATGAATTATTTAGCATGTTGATCGAACGCTGATTCGGTTACCGATTAACTAACTCGTTCGCTAAACGAGCAGGATCAACTATTCTTTTTTCTGCCGGATCGACTCGGCATTATCGCCTTAACTCGACGATGTCGGTTTTAGGCATAAATGGCTGCCAATTTTTAACCGACTTCGAAAAAGGAGGAGGTTACTCAATTCGATCAGTATTTTTTTTTTTTTCTACCGTACCATTGTCCGATCTTACAAATATCCCAATTTTCCTATGCAAATTCTAAAGGTAAATTTTAAGCCGAACCTTACCGATGCAAAAGTTTAAACTCGACCGGCTACCGTCCACGATAACATCAAAATTCGCGATTCCATCGAGATTTTAATCGTTCCCGAATGGAAACTGCTTCGCTACTTTCCTCTACAAACGGCATTGCGGTCGATTTCGCGATTACATGCATTTCCCGCGGCAAATTACTTTGTCCCTGTCCTCCTATGGGGAGATTCGCTAAAACCGTGCGAACGAACGCTATTCAGCGTTTTTAATCGTTCGAACGAGCTCGACCCGCAACGAGGTCATCGCGGACGCGATAATGACGAATACCGTGGTAGCGCGACCGCGGGAAACGAGTTTACCAAGGAATTGGAACGGTTTATATCCATCCTGAGATATTGTCGATCGGAAGGATACAAAAAGGAGATCCTGCGGACATATGAAACTCGTTGTGGTCTGGATAAGAATCTCCGGCGAAGGTTCCCGCAGGCTATTCCGACCAGCTGACACACGGAGAATGGACAAGATATTTCAAGAATGTAGATACGCGCTCGCGAAAACGGCCGAACGAAATAACGTCGTTCAAAATCGAGATTTTAATTAACTCTTTCGACCATTCGACGAAACACGGTTCCCGAGTGGACACGTAATTTGCTAATTAAAATTTATCGATTTCGCGACAAGCGCAAGGAAACGAAGCTCTTTTTTTCCGCTTCGAATTCGCTGATTCGGAAACGCGGAAGTTCGTAATTCGGTCGCGGCGAATCTCTGGAAGATTCGGTGGAAAAAGTTGATGGAAATTCGAGAACGGAGAAAAGGAAACGTCGGAACAAGGTGAAATTCGCGTCGATCGATAACGGACAGGCGAAACGTTTAGAGTCGCGATGCAGGATTCGGAGAAGAATCCGCCCTGTTTGCTCGGTCAGCGCCATATTTCACGGGACATTGTGCACGCGGCAATAAATTGGATTCTCCGCGGACGGGGCAGCTCGAAAGAGTGCACGCCTCGTGGCGAACTGTAATCTTCGCGAAGAGTTGGCGCGTACGTTCGTACATGCGCTAACATCGTCCGCTCGAAAGAGCCGAGCTCAATTAATCATACAGTCTTACGGTGACAGCCTCTATGAAAGGCTGAATCTTCGCCTTGTTGCGCGGCGATGGGATCGATACCGTGATCCCATTGAAACTAAATTACCTTCCATTATCGAAGTTACACGAGACCGACCGGTACTCGTGGCCTGCGCCGCCTGTTTAATCTTTTAGCGTGGATTAACAACCCCGGATCAGCTATTCGCTGCTCGACGTTAACCCACGTAAGAATTATTCCGTACGCTGCGGCTTCCCTCCGTGAAATATTTGCATAAACGTAACAACGTGTTTGCGATGACTTTGAATTTTTTAACCGTTGGAAAACCGCCGTACTTTCCGGAGCTTTCGTTATTCCACGCGGAAAATATCTTTAGATCTTGCTCGAGTCGATTACGAAAACATGGAGTTTGCTAACAATTATTTTTGCGCTGTAAAGTTTGACGAGTCTATGTACCGTTCTGTGCGTTCGTTTATTCGCGAAGGTAAAAGAAGGAATCGGGCACAGTGCACGGCTTAAGCGTCGAAATCCCCGCGTTCCAGTGACCGTGCCGCCATATTTCACCGAACGGAGGATTAAGACAGACGTACCTACGCTGCGCCGTTCGCAAACCGGAAGCTACGTTTTATCGATAACGCGTTGTCGCGAATCAATGTTTATCGTCCCTCCAAATGTTCCGCCTCGTTCCACGGATAAATCCGATCGAAAGAATAGTCGCAATGTCTCTAACTTCTACTCGCGACGTCGAAAGTGATAACCGACGTCCGTGGTCGTGCTTAATCTTTCGATCCGTAGTTCGCTTTTTCCGTAGA